GACGCGCCGGATATTACCTCTCCCAAGTGGTCATTCATTGGGGTATGTCCTGCAGGAGTTGATAGTTGTCTATTGAAGCTGCTTGGAAGTACTCCGCGTACATATAAATCTGAACCTGCCGGTGGATGGAAGTCTAATACTTATTTGGAACCAAGTCACCCAGTTCTCATCAGCTCTACTGTCAACACAACTATTGTAGAATGTCATGGACTTGATGCCACTCAATTGCAAGTCAAAGTACTTGTATTTATACCAAATTGGTATCAAGCAACCCTTGTGAAGATTGTCAAGACTTTCCAGATCAAACTCCAGCGTCCTACTCATTACCAACCTCACCAACATCAACATATTCCTCTGGTGGATCTAGAAGCACGTACAACCCCCAACTGGAGTTCTGCTTTTCCTGATCATATTTTGACCAGCCAAGAGGCCTCAAGACTTGCGTCCATTTCTTGCGGTTCAGATCTTCAGCCTGTTGAACCTTCAGATATAGTTACTTCTCAGCTGCACCCCCATCAAAAGCAGGGCCTGGCATTTTTGTTGGACAGAGAAAATCCGGATTCCAAAACTTATCACTCCCTTTGGTTTTATAAATCAATGCCACCCTTCAACCGGTGGTGTCACCGTCTCTGTGGAGAAGAATTTATTGTCACTGAGGAACAAACCGGACCAGTCAGCCCTAGGGCATCAATTCTAGCTGATGACATGGGGCTTGGAAAAACAATTCAAACTATTTCTTTAATTGCTACAACACTGGATGCGTCAAGACAATACAAACATCAGCATTCAGCATCAGCCGTCAACCCTCTAGACACTCAGCTGTGAGCTTCTCACACCACTCTTTTGATATGTCCTACTAGCCTCATGGACAACTGGGAAGAGGAGGTTGGAAAACACACTAGAAAAAACAGCTTGAAAGTCTTGCGCTGGCATGGCACCAACAGATTCAAAATACCTCTACGTGATATCCACTCAGCCGACATTGTCATTACAACCCCAAAAACACTTATGTATGACCAACGGCTTGGTGGATCAACCCGGGTTCCTTTTACAACCAGATGGTACAGGGTGGTCATTGATGAAGCTCAGTGAGTATTCTCTCTTTGCAACCAAAGGTCTGTGACCAAACTGACCCTTTACTGGTGCCAGTGTAATTCGTAATGAAACCGCCTCCCATGCAGTCCTCACCTCTTTGGAATCAGTCAACCGGCTCTGTCTCACTGGTACTCCGCTCCATAACAGAATTGGCGACTTGCACATGCTCTTCAAATTTCTGCACATCAAACCTTTTCAAGAAGACTCAGTATGGTACCGTCAAATCACTCTGCCGGTTCATCAAGGAAATTTGGACACACTCAGCCAGCTTCTAAGATACTTCATGCTTAGGCGGACCAAATCAAGCCACCTATCAAATTTACCTCCAATATACCATGAGACCATTTTATTGGAAATGCATCAAAAAGTGAAAGCAATATATCAGCAACATTATGAAAGATTTCTTCAGGACTTTGGTGTGGAATCTCAAATCCAACATAAACAGGGTGAATATTTCAGACAATTGATGAATCTCAGGATGACATGCAATCACCCTCTTTTATTCAAGCAAGAACAAGAGCTCAATCAGACCAAGATTACGGAGATGGAGGAGGAGCTTGGAATCATGGTGCCGGATGGGAGGGCACTGACTGCTGATGCCAGGCCAGCCTACCTGGAGGACTGGTCACTGAGTAGCAAGCTTGCATACTTGGTTTCCCAGCTCAAAAAGAAGCATAGAACTTTGCATAAAGGTCTATGCAAGAAGACTGTTATCTATACCCAATGGAGGTGTTTCATGGAGTGGTAATTATATTTTATGTCTCTGTTATATCACTTGGCCTGTAAGCTAACCTGCACACCCCACAGGATCAAGATTGCTTTGGATTGTCACGGCATTGGCAGCGGCACCTTGCACGGTGACATGACAACTCATGAGAGGACATGCCAACTCAACAGATTCAAGAACGATAACAACATTGAGGCCTTTATAGTATCTATTGAAGCTGGAGGTGTGGGCTTGAATATGACCTGCGCTGACGAGGTCTATCTGATGGTGTGTTTGTTATCATTCATTCATATGTATGCAGTGGTCAATATTAGCTAAAAGTAATATCATTAGGATGCCCATTGGAATCCACAGATTGTGCAACAGGCAATTGACCGTCTACATCGAATAGGGCAGACTCACCCCGTGAAGGTGTATCATGTGGTTGCAGGGCAATCTGTTGAACAGCACCTATTCAATGTGAGTCAAGTAATCAGCTTCCAGAAAGGGCTACACTCACCATCATCTGCAAAAACATTTTATACCCCTCAGGTACAGAAGAAAAAAGCATCTCTGGCTAGAAAAATAATTACATTGTCAGTTCCAAAGGATCAACTTAAAGATTACCTCCAACCTGGGGACACAATGGATGTCATGGATGATATAGGCAATGTGAATGCATGCTATGCAGAATATGTCTAGATGATGGAGGGTTCCATCCAAAAATATATGTAGAATTTGTGTTTCAAACCGACCACAAGTGGCTTTTATCCTTGAAAAAATTCTCCTCTGTCCTTTTTTTTCTTCTTCCGAAAACAAGAGTATTGTATCTTGTAGTGTGATTACTTTTAGAGTATTGTATCTCGTAGTGTGATTACTTTGCTCACAACAATCAATACCATTGACCACTACAAAGTTTACCACACACAGGGATGCAGGTAATAGCAAAATAAAGTACTCAGTTTTCCAAGAACATAGAATCATCACCTTCAACACGGGCAAAGGGAGTGTTACTCCAAGACAAATCTTTCAATCTTGCTAATACAACATCAAAAGAACCCCAAAAATTTCCAATGTCCAAATCCCCGCTCACAATTCCAACCTCTTCCATGACTTGATCAACCACCGGGGAAAACCACTCAGGGGTTGTGCTCCACAAGTGTTCTTGCTCCGGGTAATCATCAGCAAGGATAGCATCCACCGCTTCACCTGGGACAGGTATGAGGTAATCAATGCAACCAAATTTGTCAACGGGGTTTTTGTAGCAGTAGTCTGCAGAACATCCAGTAGGTAATTTCGACCGCTTGTCGTGTCGTCTGCAGAAACCATTGTAAAACCTGACCCATTTGTCCAGAGCTCGTTGAAATACGGGGATAAATAGGTGGAGAAACAAGGTCCTGAAAAGCAATAACAAAGATTTCAGCATGGAATCACCAATTAAAAAACAAGGAGCTTCACCTAGACATTGGATCATTGTCATTATATAAATCTTGATCAATGCGCTCTTGAATTTTAGCTTTGATATTTCCAGTCAGTCCACAAGTCATTTTGTCCCAGAAGCACTCAATCTTTTGGTTACGAGGGGACGGGACCTATTGATGATAAGGCCAGTCTGGAGCTCTGGAACCGCTAGTTTCTCCAAAATAAAGTTGATGTCCAGCAAGAGGAACAGTCTCAGTTCCTCAATCCGT